CAATTATATCAAATCGAGATCCTAGATTCATCTCAAGCATTTTGGAAGAGTTTACACAGAGCCATAGGTGCAAAATTAAACTTTAGCACGAGCTTATCATCCATAAAATGATGGACACTCTAAATGGGTTATTTAGATTCTTGAGGATATGTTACGAGTGTACATCCTAAATTGGTCCGAAAAATGGGAAAAATATTTACGGTTAGTAGAGTTTGCATATAATAATAACTATCAAGCTTCAATTAGGATGGCTCCTTATGAAACTTTGTATGGATGATAGTGTAGATCCCCAATACACTAGAATTAAGTTTTAATCACATCACCTATCCTTTAAGTCAAACTTGCCACCTAAGCTTCTAAACTCTTTTACTACTTTAAACCTGAAGGCCTTCTAATTAAAATCTGCCACCTAAGCTTCTAATTCTATCTACCACTTTACACTTCACAAGCTTAGATTAGGACACTTGTTAAGTTCATTAATAAGGAAAGAAAAGGTGAATATATATAAGAGAAAGCTAAGGAATGGTCGGCCACTTTTAGAAGATTTTAGTTCACTAAAAGAAAAAGAAAGCCGAACAAGAAGGAAAATGGAAGAAGAAAAGAGAAAGAAGGAAAGAAGGAAAGGAGAAGAAAAAGACTAAGAGATGTTCTAGGAAACTTGAATCAAGTAACTAAGGATTTATATTACACCATAAATTTGAATTTCTAAGTGCTTGATTTAGGTGAATTACTTGAGTTGATGATTATGCTTTTATGAGTTGCTTATGTCAATATTGTGAGTTTTAATGGCTTGATATGAGTTTATTGGTTTATATTGGGTATATTGATGATTTATTAATATGCTTACTCATTAAAGTTCATAAAGCTTTGTTTTATGCCTAAATATTTGTTGTTAGGTTAGGTTAGTAAATTGATGGGCTTGGACCAAAATTATTTGGAGTGAATAATTATTGATGTGGATATGGGAGGAATAAATCCGAAATGGTAGATGATGGATGATGGGTTCCTAGGGTTCCTTAAAGGGTACTATTCAGCCTAATTGCTTAAATTGAGGATTTTGATGCTTTCATGTGATTGATGTTCTAGAGCTAAATTATAGCTTAATTAAGTATGAATTAGTGTTTAGGAATGAAAACATTTACTTTAATTGAAGAAAAATCCACACAAATCCTTAGGGTATATTCGGCCTAAACTTTGATTTTTAGGCTTTGAGTTTCACTCATCCAAATATCGATTGTTGTTCAATTGTACTTGAGTAAGTATAATTTGAAGTGTAGGAAGGTAAAATTTCAAGAAAATTGAAGAAAATGGCTTGAATTTGTAAAAATCTAAATTCGGCCATTAAGGCCAAATTCGAGTTAGAGTAAGGAATTACATCTTAAATGTTTATTCAATTGGTCTCTATGATTAATGTGTATGTAAGCTAAGTGGTATCAAAATTATTGGATGAAATCAATGGTATTACTTATTAATTATATGAAGAGAAGATATTTATTAAAGGAGTGAATTATATTGATTGATTAATTATATTCGGTGGTAATTGATTTCCTTAAATAAATATTTATGTAAGGTATATGAGACATATAGCTGTTTTTATATATGGGTTGAATTTCAAGAATGGTTTGAGAATGTAGGGTTTGGTACCCATAACTTAGTGGATATGGTAAATGAAACATCATTGTGCATCACGTACATTTGTGGATAGATTGAAAAGTCAGATGGTTGAGAATTGATAAGGTTTGGTAATCGAAACTAGATTAAATGGGTATTAGCAATGAAGCTATGTGCATGCTCTATTACTTAATTACATCGTTAGGTGATGGATAATTTCACCAATCGTGTGCTATAATGATAGATAATTCCATTGTTAGCAGTAAGTGATAAGGCCATCACCGAGAGATGAAAATGGAGTGGACTTGCTAATACCGAGGGTACCTAACTAAAATTAATGGATGAATTCAGGGTAGTAAGGAATCATTGCATATCACGTGCATCATCGTACTTACCGAGCTTTAGCTCATATTGTTGTTGTTATTTCGTGGTAGAGACAAAGATAGTTATGTCGAGGAAGTTGCTAGCTCTCACTAAAACGGCTCATGTGCTACCCAAAATTAGAGGAATCTTTTGAAGGGTTGTAAATAAGGGATACTATTCCCCTGTTTGTGGGTCGTCGACATGGTAGATATTTTGTAATCCCTGTGACTAAAATTATTAGTACCATGTAAATTTTATTGTATGTATTCCATTGCTTAATATTTATTTAATTTCGGTTATGCATTATAAGGAACTAGTTGGGATTTTAGGCTTAATAATGTAATGAACCTAGCCGCTCCTATTGGGACATAGTAAGTGAGTTAGGGTCGTTCCAGATGATATCCTAAATATGGCCTTTAGAAAATGGGGATCCATTAGATAAGGAATAAATAACCTCTCTATTGTCAAGCAAGAAGGGTGTGCCCATGACAAATATTTCATACCTATCTTTAGATCAAGATTGTTCCTCTCCCTGGCTATCCACTATTGATTCACTATATCCAATATAATTGAGTTATCAATATAGAATATTCCATTATAAGGTAAAATACCATTATAGAGTAAGAATATCCAAGATAATCTTACGATAATTGGTTATCATTAATTAATAAGGTCACCTCACTCTTCTATGTAGATAATAAGTTTGTAGACTAAATAGGCCACTATTGATTCTTTCTATATATTATAAAAGAAGCGAGTTAAGTTAATACTCTTGACATGAATTACCTTACTTAGATAATTAATACCCTAAGCAATTTTGATAATCTTTGCCTCTCTTCATGATCAATGTTTAAGGTATTTACTATAGGGAGATGGAACATAATTGGCAAATCTTATTTGCAATAGGGGCAAGTTCACCATTATAAACCAAATAAGAGTGGTATTGATATTTTAGATGATTAGTATAAAATATAGAATCAGTGTAAATTCACGTTATACATACTATTAGGATAAAATTCATATCGAACTACTCTTATTAGGGTCCTTTCTTAGTTAGAGTATGCCCTATAAATAGGCAATAATTATAGAACATTTGTTGCGGGCTCTCCTAGAGCACTTAATCTATTAAGTTGATACACCACTCCTATATATGTATCCATATAGCAATTTACACTACCTATCCGATAGGCTATCTAAACTATCTACTATATTATGTTCTACTAGAATTATAACATCCTTATCATAATCTCGAGTAAAGGACAAGTTATTAAGATAGAGTGGGCAATTATTGTCATAATTGCTATTTATCAACCTTTACCTTGAGTAGGAGTTGATATTTTATTGGTTAACTTTATTATGGTGATATAATAAAGGTCATTACCCTTATAAACTACCATCTTTTAATAAGCAAACATTAACGAGCCAATCTAGGATGATTGGTAATCGATAGTCTCGACTTATATTATAGCCTACTATGGTCCCTAATTATAGTCTCTCGGTGGGTTCCCATATCATTTTTTTATATCCCTCTATATTGAAATATGGAATAATAATCAAATTTGGTTCGTTAATCTATAAAGTGGTCTTAAAATACTATTATACAATAGTGACAACATTAAGTTTGATATTTTCTCCATTAGTAATCAACCTAATAGTCAATCTTTAAGAGTATATTAAATATATGATGGCATTAATAGAATATGATTACTCTAATCATATGAGGATAAATTAGAAAACATTATAGTTGATGATAATCGATGATTTGAGTTACTCTTAAAGATTGACTATTAGGTTGAATGGGCGTAATCAAGATAAACCTTAGTGAACAACCAAATTGATAATCCCATTGTAGTGGTTAGGTGTAATTATAATGGATATTACTATATTATCATTTGTTACTTATTTTATAATAGCTAGAGGACATCATTCATTTATGGATTATAATCTTGGATAGATATACTTTCGTTTATGAGTTTGCCTAAATACTTTTTAGGGGTTCATTGTTATTTATAAAATAGACCTACCATTGTTATTAGGGGTAATAGCCCTTCTATTGCTCAAGTATACTATTTATTTCCAATTAGAAGTAATTCTCATCAAATCTGTAATAGTTCAACCCATTATAATAGTTTGATTATATTTAGTACAAACCAATACTTAGTTCATAAGGAATAACTAATCCAAATATGAGACTCGATTAATAGTCATAATAATGTTGTGATATCCTAATGAACTCATTGGATAGGTAACATGAGAAGGAGCCTCCACTTAGATAACAATGAAAAAAGAATATCCCTATGAAATTATATACTCAAATTATGTAAAAGGGTTATTACTATGGATTAGGGGTAGATGAGATAACCGTCTATTAAGTGTACATCGATAAATTATAATGTGTAAGATACCCTATATATGAATCGGGGAGATATTTTCCATAATGTTCAACCATTATGTGTATGGTAATTAATACATAGTCCCTTCTATATAAAATATAAACGCTTAGTTTAGTTACCATATCCCTAGGCTAAGATATGGAATAATTCTAAGTCAAGGTGCCTTATGGAGAATAACTTGAGTGAATAACTTTTCCATGAGTATCCTTCATTGGACACTAATTAATGGAGTGACTACTTTTATGGCCTTATCACCACCCTAGTTTGGGCATAATATTGAAAAGCATATCATTAGAGGACATAAGAGTCCTTACCAAAAATTATGATAAGTGACTTATTAAGTATACTATTTATGCAAAAAAATATTGGATTAAATTGTAGGAATTACCACTTCGTATTGAACAACTATAATATCCCTTTTGAAAACCATTGATAAAATGATGTACTCACAATCAATCCTTATTGTAATAATAGCTATATATTTGATAGCTACATTTACCATTTTAGAGTAATGGGTATGCCACTCAGATTTACACCATATTGATTTTAACATTAGGATATTTGATAAATAACCTCTATATGTTTCATGATGATAGCGGAACCTTTTGAATCGATGATATCACAAAGGCTATTTCACCCATTAGTACTTAATATGTTTTTGGTCATTCTCCCACCTTTTATACCTACCCCTCTCCCCCCATTTTTGCAATCTTTTCCTAGTTACATAACCTAGGATAGTTAAGGTATCTCTAGGTTATGTAACTAAGAAAAGGGGGAGAGGGTTGACTATTAATAACATGTATAAATGGTTAACTATAGCAAGGATTTATAATATTATTGACCAAAAATAATCTAATGGCTATAATCCATAGAGGACCCTCTCGATCAATATGCCATATGGATCATTATCCCTAATCGTTACCCCATGAAAAGCCATCATAGATATGTAGAGGCTGGAATATTCAAATATATATATATACTAAGTGAAGGTGTGATTGTGTATGTGTCATGTTAGTATTTTGGGATGACAACATGCTAGGTGTTTAGGTGAGGAGTTATGGAATGAAATTTTGAACAATTTATCTGATTGTTTGGAACATATCATACAAGTGAGAACTATACCATAAGAACTTAATGCTTGAAATGTAGGATTTGTGTTAAATTAATGCTATTTTACTTAAGATTGATGGGTTAACTATTAGAGGAATTAAGTATACAAAATCAATGTTCTTGAGAATTTGGTTTTGTCCAGATTTTGTGTGGCTCTGTTCAAAGACCTTATATTGATTTCTAGGTGAAGCTTAAAGAATAAAAGTTTTTGATATATGTCTCAACTACCTCTCTGTAAAACATTTTTATTATTAGGTTTATGTATAAAACGTTATGCCTATTTTAGTACATACTAGTACTGGATTAACGATTGTTGGAATGATTGATTCTTAAACTTCAAAATTATATTATTAATCATGTGTTTGGTATTTTAGCTTAATTTTTTTGATATATTTTGAATTAATATATCTATTTTATAATATAAAAATATATGATTTAATTATTCTAGAAGTGGGACATTGTCGCTTTATAAGAGGTCGCCCTATAATACATCTTCTACAAATAGATTTGATGTTAATGTGTATTGCTGGAACTAAACTAGCTTAAGGGAATTTTTCATTGGAACTAAGCTAGCTTAATCCTTAGCAAGTAATTAGACACCTAAGCCATCATTTAATGCATTGGAAACCAATTCACCTTTGACTAACCCTAAACCCGCCATTTGCCCCTATGCCTCACTAATTGCTTTACACCTTGCCTAATTAATTCAAGACACATGTAGACCTAATTAATGCAAGGAAATGGAATGTGTGTATATATATACATAGAGAGAGAGAGAGAGAGAGAGGGAATGGCAAAAATTTTTGGCAAACTCGTAGCTACCAAAAGAGAGAAGAAAAATCGATTGTGAGCGAGAGAAGGAAAAATACGACGAAAGAGAAAGAAAAGGAAAGGAAAGGAAAGGAAAGAAAAAAAAAGAGGAAAAGCTAGGGAAATACTTAACAAACCTAAACTAAGTAAGTGGGTCTTTATTTATGCCAATTATTTATTCCTTTCATGTAAATTGATGTAATTAATTAAGCTTCCAATTATGTTGTGTTGTGTTGTTGTGTTGGTATGGTTATGCTTGGTTGGCATATGATTGTTTGTTATTATGGAATATGTAAGAATGGTTGGTGTGATTTGTTAAAGCTTGGAAAACCTTATGTATGGTTCAGTTTGTGTGTTGATGGGTGTGATTAATGGAAGGGAGATTTGACCAAAACTTGGTGGACTAAACTAGGATTAATATGAACTTGGACAAAGTAAAATGGGAAGGAAGGAAAATTAAATTTTAGGGTTTTTCCTAAGGTGATTTTATGCGAAAATGGGAAGGATGGAACCTTTCTGATCCTTAAGGACTTAAATTTTAATTAGGCATAAATTTTACTTAGGTTTGATTAGCTATTTGAAATAAAAAGAAAACTTTCTATTAAACCAAATAACATTTCCCCCAAAATTAAGAAGACCATTCAGCCGAAACTTAAGAAAAATGGGGTTTTGGGTTTCATTAAATGAATTTGACAATTAATGGATCAATTAGGCCTAGATAGGAATCGAAATTGAAATTTGAAAGGTAAGTTTGCAACAAAAATTGAAATTTTGACTCAAGAGTTAAATTCAACTTAAAAGTATTAAATTTGGGCTAGAAGGGAGAATTTTTCCTTAGCATGTTTTAAGGTAGTCCAAAATGTTAATAACCGCATAAATCGAGTGTAGATCGAAAGGGTAATCGGATTTACTAAATTAAACAAAAGGAAAATACCCATGTGCTAATTAAGTCCATGGCATGATCAATAGCAATCATTGATACTTAACCCTTTCGGGGTGAACATTGCGATAAGAAGTAAAGAAATATACGAAACCCGGTGTGGGTGAGATCTCGGGACTAATTTGACAATATAGGGTTGGCACCCTTGCTATGTTAATATAGTAAATGTAAAATCACATGCATCATTTGCATTTGTGGGGACGGATTGAGAAAAGTCAATGGATTGAGAATTGGTTTATATGGATAGGTTTGGTAACCTAACCGGAATGAATGGGTATTAGCAATCTAGTTGTGTGCATACTCTAATTTGTGTGATCTGCGTTATTAGATGATAAATTTTCACTAATAGTAGCTACAATGAGGGATAGTTCCATTGTTAGCAATAGGTGATTCGGTAATCATCAATAGAGTAGACTTGCTAATACCTAGGGTACCGGAATTAAATTCTATGATTATTGTGGAGAAATCAAAAAAGCATTGCATATCACGTGCATCACCCCACTTATTGAGCTTCGGCTCACTCTGTATTTATTTAATGCCATGATAGGTAAAGGTGATAAGACTCGTCGATAATGAAGTCTGTCGGTTCCTCCCGAACAAGGCTTATGTCTAACATGATAGATATAGGAATCTATTTTGATTGTAATTATCTTGGAGATTTTGTAAGTTTTGTAACTATTAATGCCATGTAAATTTGATGGTATAAGTTTTTATGCTTCATGTTTTATTGTTTATTGGCCATATATTTGGGAAGTAAAATTTGGGACTTTGGTCCCTAAATTGTAGCGAACCGACCATGCCTCTTAGGTAATTGGTAAGGGAGCTTGGGGCGTTACACTAACAAGTGGATAATCATCCTGGTTGCCCAACAAGTTGACATGAGGATGACCAATATAGAGAAATATTAGTAAACTAGAATGCTCCTCCTAATGGTCTATGAGAAAATAGTGATATTAGAGAAAAGTATATTGTTAGAGGACTTCTCCATTAATCATAAAATTATACTTTTCATGTCTTTCCTTAATTCAATATGAATTACCCATTTCTCTTATGGTTATAACCCTTGATAACTATATTATAGCCACGACAATCGACGGTATGCTTAGGGATAGCCTAAGCATACCATCGATTGCCTTAGCTAAAATATATGGTAAACCTATCTCTATGAAATAAACATGGTATTTATCCTAATATTATTGTAGTATCAATAATGCATATCGATGGATTGAATATAGGATGTTAGAGAGGGATACACCTACTTAATTTCATTAGGGATATTATTAATGTTAATATAGAGTTCCACTTTGATGATTTAACTTGGATAAAAGAGCGAGGTAATGGTTCGCAAAACATATAGAGGGATAATAAGATTAAATCGCATGTAATTTAGTTATTGGAGTTATATTCCATGACTCATGATAGGCTTATTCTCTATGATAGAACAATAATAGTCCAAGGATTATAGGTGTATCCCTCTCTAACATGGGCACTAATATTATCACTAGTGTAGTGGTAATTGGAACAAATATTATGGCTCCTTGTTACCATAAATACTGTTTATGATTATTATATCAATCCTAGGGCTCTTCAACCCAAGTATAGTTTTACTACATTACCTTAATAAGTATATTATGCACTAGGTTTACTCGGGCATATTAAGGATAGATATCTCACCATAAGGTATTTATGGTAAACATGTCTTTACTCAATAAACATATCTCCCTTAGGTGATATTGGAACCCATATAGCCTATCATTAACGGGTTTAAAACACTAAAAACATATAATATCAATCGACCTTCAAATCATGCAGGTATTTATCACTATAATTAACATAATAAGATATGTCCTAATTTAGATGCAATGAGGTCCATCCTTAATTTATTTTCTAAGGCTTACACCCCTAATGTTAACTTGGAGAATAGGCCATAATAAGAGATGTAGGACATTATATAGAGAGGGTATTTATGGGTCCATGTCCTATAATATTTGAAGGGGAGACACATCAATAACAATACATCTCTTATGAAATTAGGACCCACGACTATTATACAAGAAAGATTTTGGCAAAAGAGGAGATTAGCCCTTAATTAAATACCATAATTTCTATTTTAGTTAAGGATATAGTAGAATGAATCCTTAACTAATAAACTTCTTATTATTGGAATATTAGTCTATTAACCATCATAGCTAAATGCTCGAAGACACTACAAGTTAATGATTGTACGAAAATAGTAAGAAAACATGAAATAGAGAGCTAATCCGATATATCCAATTAACCTATTCTTGGTTTATTGATTATAAACTAGAGGACTAATGTGAGGGGGATATTAGAATTGCAATAGTGATTGTTCCCTACTAATGGAATTCTAGTGAAAATTCATGGCTAATGAAGGATAATTTGTAAGGGTTACGATGTAATGGTATTGCTTATTGAGTAACAAATATACAATTAATCCTATCAAATTTTCTTGTATGGTATAGTTTGCCTCACGAATGTAACCTTCTACATTCGTATACCTTCTACATTTGATAATCATCCCACCCGAGCTCTTGTACTTAGCAATGATTGTTGTATCTTTATATATGTCCACCTTTCTTATAAATTATAAGGTATACGAATGTAGAAGGTTACATTCATGAGGAAAACTATACCATGTATTATATACATAGTATTAGAGACCACTATTAGATCTTAATTTGTGAGATCATAATAGTTATACTCTCGTACTTCAGTTATGGGCATGGTGGTCACCTATTTAAAGAAAGAAGCCCTATAATAATTTCGGTGATATAATTAGAGACATAGAGAGATAGAGAAATCAATATTATTATTAATATGGTAATAGGAAAAAATCAGATTATTCCAAATAGGGAGTGTTTAAGGTAATCATAAAAAACATCGTGTAATTCCCCAATTATATCAATAGATTCGTGAGGGATGGAAAACCCCAATTAAGCTATTATGTTAGAGGGGTTAGTTGATATGAACGTAAATAATATATAATATTGGGTCCCACTATGCTTGTCATTTTGTTCCAGTGACAACTTTAGACATCCTTGTGGTCTATCATTTAAGAGCTATGTATAGGGTGGCTTAATATCAATCCCCAAATTATACCTCTCTATTTTAGATTATAGTTGTTCCATATTAGGTTTGCTCATTATAATTTATATGAGCTAGTAATGAGGGACACAATTAATCATAGAATTCAATCCTCACAGGAATATATTAACCCTCTTATTTAAAATTATTACTATAATGGGTAAATAGTTAGGTAAATAGTTAGGGCCTAAACTGAGCATATTTAATATTGATAGTCTATCTAAAGAAGGATGACCTCAAGACAAACCTAGCCCGTATCCCTCATGAATAGGGGTTTAGGGCCATTTTCACTATTTTAGCCTTCATAAAGTGGATCAAATCAATTACATTGAAACATAGGAAATCCTCATATATATATATATATATATATAAGTGATTAAGATAATAGTTTTATAAGATACACATTAATTATTTAGATGATTAGAGATTTATGACTACTTTCATTGAATATATTAATCATATATTTACAAACCAATAGAGGGATATTAACTAAATTGTATAGAGATATGTTTACTTCAAACTAAAGAGTACCATCATACTAAATTCACCCATATAAAAGTTTTCATAAATAGAGGTGAGGTGTGTTATAAAAATAGAAAGAACCATCAATCCTATATAGCAACATCTATATATTAGATAACACTGTTTACATTATTAGAGGGGTTCCCACTTTGTTATGATCTCTAGGGTATATTATCCATGACTATTATTCTATGTATACTAATATCAACCTCATCATATAAACCAGATATGATAAATATACTATATATTATTAGGGATAGCACCATATTTATGCTATATGTGTATATAGTCGATAATTAGTGGATTTAAGCCTAAATCAAAGGGAAATCTCCTATCAGAGATATAGATTATACCAAAACATAGGAAGGAAGAATAATAGGTCTATGATAGAACATGACAAAGTATCTATAGGCTAGAGTATGAACATTACCCTAGATAAGAGGACCTCCTACTAAATTCCATCAATTAATATGCTACATTTGGTGCAATTTTCTAGGGGATAAGTTTTTCCTAACATTTGAGCTTGCTATTTGACCTAACTCAAATAGCTCCTCTTCAATAATATCCCTAAATAACCTTATAATGCTTATTCTGGATATATATGATCTATCCCTTCTATTATGACTACATGTATTATCAAAATCATATAGACAAGTTGTAAATACTTCATAGGATGACTCAATATCATTAACGGTCAACCTTTTTTGCTCATCTTGGTCAATAATTGTTCCACGGTTACATCATAATTATTGGTTTCTCAAAATAATTCAAGTTGACCATTAATGATATTGTGTCATCCTATAAAGTATATGATCCTATATAGCCCATCAAAAGAGTTATATGGATAGATAACTTGGCCTAATATTTTTACTCTGGAATTATCGAAGCATCACTCATAACATTCCAAATCAAGTTTTGAACCAATCACCCTATAGATCCTACATATTTCTCTCTAAAATGATCTAACAACATGACCTTTTTTGCTAGAACTATCTGCTAGGCTATATAGCCATGCTGATTTAATCAATCTATACGTTACGTCTACTAGTATGCTAGAAGCGAGTGTGAAAATAGTATTATCTATTTTTTGTGAGAGTAAACCTAATGCACTAAAATTCAGCTTTATAATGCCCCTCACTCTATTTACTTATAGTACTTTGTGATGGGGAGACTTAATATAACTTTAGTCACTATTCATATCAAGGATATAAAATTTCATACTAGTATGTTTCTACTCATGGAGACACTTTTACCTTTCCCTAACAATTAGGCCCACGATGGACTTAATCATAATAGACCGTGATAATCCCTTCACATAACTAAAATATAAACGTGTATTATTTAAGTTTGAGGGTAATTAACAAGGGTGAACTCCATGAAATGAGGGAGACGATGTCCATAATATCGTTTGATGCTTATGCTATTAGCCCTAAGGAAAAATATAATATACTATTAGATTCTCTCTAATAATAGGGAACATAAATAACATACAAAGGTAATCAAACCTATGTTTTATTGCCTTTTAATCTAGTGAGAGAGAGGGAGAATATTTCAATTCGATCCTTTTAGGCCATAGAAGTATATATAGCAAATTAGCTTGACATCCATATATTCGGTTCCTAAGCACATCTCTTGGAACTCTCTTCTTGGTAATTAATTAGGTAGGAATTGTTAATTTGTGATTAACCGGATAAGCAAGAGGTTTAACCTCTCAAATATCCATCTTGATAGTTAATATCTTATTATATTTGAATAATATTATAGTAATTTAATATTATTTAAGACCATATTGACTCACTTGGTATTCAAACATGCAATTTATTAATAAATGAATAACAAATATTATGACTATTTAATATACTAATTATAATCAATATGGTTCCATGATGTTATAATTATAAATTCTTTTTATTTCAATTAATACTCCAATATACGAAATTTATCTTAGCCGATTAATAAGGGTTCCTCCCCTCCTATTGAGAGAAGAGAAATGCTAAATGAGTCCACTCAATCATACATATAATGGTATATCTATGTTCAAATTTAGGATTAATGTGGCACTCCCTCCCCGGCCCATTCACTAATTACCCAAAAGGAGTGGCCAAGCGAGGAACGTGTAACGCCGACATGACCAAATCCCGACTTAATTCCTAATTCATACATGCTCATATATTAAGGGCACAATTATATAATGAAGCGCGTATAGTACAATTACATAACATTAACAAATACAGCGAAAGAAATTATAATTTATTTACAATACCATTAAAATGTCCACCGACACCCCAACCTAAAATTACAATCAAAATAAACTTTGTTACGTTTATGTCACGCATGAGCCCTTTTTAGGAGGAACCAGTAGCATCCTTGCTACTTTGACCTTTTCTTGTCATAACAATGAAGTGAGCCAAAGCTTAGTAAGTAGGGTGATACACGTTATATGTAATGCTTTTTCGACTTTCCCACCATACTCATAGATTTTAATTTCGGATACCCCAGGTATTAACAAATCTACTCTATTGGTCATTATTGAATCACCTAATGCTAACAATGGAATTATCTCTCGTTGTAACCACTGTTAGCGGGAATCCATCGCCCAATAGTACAATCACATAGATTAGAGCATGCACACAACTGGATTGCTAATACCCATTTATTTCTACTAGGTTACCAAACCTAATCATGTAAACCAATTCTCAATCAATTGACATTTCTCAATCCACCCCACAATGCATATGATGCACATGATGTTACATTTATCATATTATAACATATTCAACCCATGCAGGATTCGGTTTCATATATTTTCATAGGTCCAACCCATATAGGGTTTCAAGTATTCTCTTACCCTTTTTCATAATGTTCACCTTGTTAGAGTTAAATATCGACAATTGGTATTGGTTGAATCATGGATCTAATTGTGTACGTGAATACTTTCCTTTTTGTTTCTTTAGTAAATCAAGTTGTTAAATTATTCCACACTTGAATTGCATCGTTATTAGCATTTGGACAAATTTTCAACATGGTAAGGTATAATTTTACTTTCTAGCCCGATTTTAACACTTTTAGGCCGAATTTAGTTCTTAAGTCAAAATCTTGATTTCTTTGGCAAGCTTACCTTTCTAATTTCAATTTTATTCCTATTTGGACCTATTTGAACCATTACTTATCAAATTAATTTATTGGAACCCAAAACCCAATTTTCCCTAAGTTTGGCCCGAATGGGTCTCTTAATTTTACAAGAAATGTTCTTTGATTTTATGTGAAGTTTCCTTATTTGTTCAAAATGACTAATTAAACCTAATTTGTTCACCATTAAAATTTAAGTCCTTAAATATCAAAAAGGTACCATATTTCCCATTTTGGCCAAAAGTCACCATAGGAAAAACCCTAAAATTTAATTTTTCTTCCTTCCTATTTTACTTTGTCCAAGTTTATATCAATCCTAGTTTAGTCCACCAAGTTTCGGTCAAGCCCTAATTCTTTCAGTCAAACCTATCAATACACAAACATAGCCATGCACAAGGCTTTCCAAACTTAATAAGCACCATGCCTTACATATTCCATAACATCCAACAATTATATGCTAAGCCATCCAACACAACACAACATAATTAAAAGCTTAATCAATTACATAAATTAACATTAAAAAATCAAATAGATGGCATAGACAAAACCCACTTACTTAGTTTAGGTTTGTTAAGGATTTCCCTAGCTTTTTCCTTCCTTTTCTCCTTTCTTTCTTTCCTTTCTTTTTCTCTCTTTCTTTTTCGTGTTTCTCTCCCTCTCAATGACGTTTTCTTCTTCTTTTGGATGAGCAACGGATTTCACTAAAACAAATGGCTAAGTTTCATCCTTTCCTTATATATATACTCCATTTGCCTTTATTATTTAGTATTCCACATGTCCTTAGTTAAGTTGTCCAAGTATAAAGTAAAGGAAGACTTTGGAAGGCAACGTGGCAATTTGAAAGTCAAAGGTGATGAGTTGTCATCAATTACATTAAATGAAGTGCTTAGTTGTCTAGTTAGGTGCTAAAGATGATGATAAAGCTAACTAAATCCTTAGGCTAGTTTAGTTTAAGGACATGCCATTTCTTTCCTAGAAAAATTCGGCCCTTCCTCCTAAAGAATTAATTCGGCAATTTCCTCCCTAATAATTCGTCAATTTCCTTCCTAAAATTTTTTCAACATTCCCCACATTGTAACATACCTTTCTCACTTGTATAATAGGTTCCATATACATATAGTAGAGAAAATGCATGGTAATTAGATAGCTTACCTAAAAATTCATCCACTTAATTCCTCACATAAACACCAAGCATCATAAAATCACCAAAATATTAAAATGGCATGTAAATCACACCCTTGCTCAATGTATTTACGTACAAATATCCTTGTATGTATACTTATATGGTTAAGGACTTTACGGGGGTTACAATTAATATTATACTCGTGCATCCAAAAAGTCCAATTATTGTTGAGAATTTAGATCGACTAGGTAATACTATTAACCTATTGGAGATGATCAAGAATCAACCATGTTGGTAATAATAATAAATATAGTAGTATCTTCCTCTCACGTTGTAAGATTAACTAGATGAGCACTTAAATATACCATTATAAGGGTTTCCATATTAACCGTATGGAAATAAGCCTTTCGAGTACCTTATTGTACACTATTACCCTAAATAGCCCATCTTAATATTCCTTATTATTTTACTTCCATTCTACTATCATGGTTTATTTACTGATTATGTATAAATATATTATGAAGGAGGAACGTCTTAGGTAGTGTGATGTTAGTGAATTTATACCCTACTTAGTTTCGTGATTAATTAATAGTGGTCTATCTATGATTTTTAGAGAGAGGAAAGAGGGAGAGATGCTCTCCTTTTACTATAGCAAATTGGGAGAAATATATAACACGAGGTTTATCATTTGATGCCATCTACAATCTAACTGGAGGAGTCATCAAACTATTTAAGCAAGAGAGGGTGAATGATGATCTTATCACGTAAGTTTCTAGTGATAATTACTTAACTAATAATGAGTAAAGACCCTAATAATTAATACTATGTTAGGGTGTCAAAAAATATATATTTCGGTTGAACAGTATAATGACCATAATTAATAGATCATCCGGGCCATATATATAAGATTTCCTTTTGTAATATTCCCTTACGGAGGGGAGATACCATCCTATTATCTTGCCTCACGAGTGTGGGCTATTTTTATAGGTGAGGGAAATATTCTTTGAGGTAAGTACACTCTTGTATTAGTTAAAATTAGGAGAGATATTATGGTCCCTTATTAAATGGAGAGATGACGGACATACCTATATGACTCTACAATAAATGAGTCATTTGACTTACAATTGGTCCATAATGGTAAACTAATTAGGAGAGATGGTGAAGATAACGGAGTTAACATATCCATGACTACCATATACCATTCTTGTAAATAATCTCTTTAGAGTGTATGAATGTGTTTACCATTATGGCCAAGAGTATCATATAAGTAATAGGAAGCTTAATACTATTATGCATTTAACTCATCGATATGTTAATAAATTATAACTATATGTTATATAAATTATCATATATTGAGATAATGTAGATACCCTTTTCTATCTCTCCCTCTCTCCTCTTTGTTGGGTGTCTGTATAAACTAATTTAATATGTTCATCAAGATAGTTTTCACCATATAGTATGAGGATATCCCTAAGAAGGGGAGAGAGGGAGGGAGATAGACAGAGAGGAGGAGAGAGAGATAGAGAGAGGGATAACCATTATAAAATAACACTCGAAGTTATAATCATAGATGATTTCTCCCTCGTCCAAACCCATGCTCCCTAGTCTCAATTGTTTATCCCTCTCACATGTTGAATACATAATGGGGGAAGATATATAATAAATATTTTCAACTTGAATTGCCTATAGATTCTAGGCATGATCCCATACATAGAATAGGATACAACACCTAAATTTTGTTTAAGTGTGAATATCAAACTCTTCCATATGAGGGAGATATTGTCCTCTATAAATCATTATGTTAATAATCTCTTTATCATGATCTACCTAATTGATTAATAGTATGGTATTAACCAATAGTTACCAATGGAATACATTACCCTCTCTCTATCCCTAATAGGCCAAAACTATCCCAACTATAATAAAAATAGTTCTAAGATGTATTTTTTTCCATCAACCTTATAGTATTTAATTAGATAATTCTCAATCCGTATCATTGCTAATTTATAATCTTATTTTGCATCATACCAGTTTATGGGTTATATTATTTAATACTTAGTTCCTTTAAATATATAGTTTTCTCATGAGAATCAATTAGAATAGATAGGGCTTAAGACTATACCATTAATTAGCAATCTTAAATTTTCCTTATGACTAATTATAAATTAGCTTGTTTAGGTGATAGTGACCACCATTTGGGTAATAATTCCTCATATGTAGAGTCTAACCAATAGATTAATGCATAGTAAAAATTGAGAGGCTAATAATGGTTTAGTTATAATCAATGTCATGATACTATAACTTAATAAGAGGGCCAATTATTTAACTGGTATTTCAATAATCCCTCTTGTAAATGGAATACATGGGATAACACAATTTTTATTATTAACTATGAAGGTAGAATAGAATGTTGAGCACAATTCCCTTACTTTATATATCTATCAAAGTTATAGTTTAATCGGTAATATATTATGACTAAACCAATAATTCACAAAAGGTGTTTCATCTGTTTTAAAGTTGAAAACGGATAATCCATATTAGCATGATGGAGTCCTATTTCTCCAAAAGGTTGAATTAATCCATTTTTAGAGAGAGAACTAAACTTACTTTTGACAGTAGGTACTTTGGTAAAGTTATCTCCATGAAAGAGAAATATGACTGCTAATGGAATATGAACTAGTATTGATCTTAGTTATATCCATGTCTTCTCCAATTTTTTTCTCAAACCATTAGAATGGGAGATTACCCTTAAGTGTAAATAGTACCTATGGTGATTTGAAATACGCATTCGGGAGCCTATTTAAGATTGTCCTAAAACATGTATTATCAATTAGAGAATTATGAATAGGATAAGAGTTTCCTATTGTCAAATTGGGAGAATGATTATCAGTTTAATTCTATTTGATGATACATGTGGTAAAATAGCAATATGGTATAAATCAATAGACTAAATTAATCATACTTCCATTATATTTATAGAAGTAAAGAATCCTTTCATAACGTTTATTACATCTAATTTTATATCATTTATACTAATTAGCACCTTTAAAATGTATGAAGGAGGCCACGTAGAAACTAGATGAGCACCCGAGTTAATGGACCTTTAAGTTTTTACTATAATAAATATGAGTCCCCATACAAACTAAAATGCGTGTGAATGACGGGATTCTTGAACCAGTATTAATTTATCGCCATTAGTGATAAGAATAGACCATCAACTCATACGAAACTCTCCCTCCCTCATAAACTATATTATAATAAGTGAGTTGATATTATATTGGTAGGAGTTATATACCATTTATGAGTATAAATCACCTTTAGGCCTAATCTATGGTAGTTGGAATGTATCTTTATTCTTTGTAACAACTAAGAGAATAAAACATACTACTATAGGAAATGTATAGTCTTGTCCATATGGACTTATATTTATAAAAGAGAGATTAACTATTGATATTAGAGGGAGCTATAATAAGTACAAAAGTGATTACCATCCTTAGAAATCATTTATATTGATAAAAATTTTGATCGTTCACTCTAAAGGAGAGATAGATGGAGGTAATAGGAATTGAGAGAATAATCTTAGGTCACTAAATAAAGATATGGTAGGGATAAACTTGATATACTATATTGTAATATTAGAACTATGATTGGGATTGCCCTAGCCTATTAGTTATGTTTTGAGAAGGGTTTAAGATACTCGGTTGAACTGATCGAAGTGCAAAAAGATTATGTATCATAATTATCTATATTATATCGGGTAATTAGTATAATTAGTATAAATCTAGATAATTCATGTTTAGTCCGTGAACGCAAACTCTTAATACTTAGCCTATTCTCAGATTCCTATTACATTAATATATTATTTCCTTAGTTCAATCATCTAGTTCCCAATATAGAAAGGAAGGGTTAACCAATAATAAATTATGATTCGTGAGTAGGGTATATACAACATAACGGTATTGATATATTATTCGTCACCAAACTTTATAAATTCATGACCCAGAGATGATCCATAATTCAGCTCTCTATACTAACGTTTATGTCATTTATGTCCTTTATTTTACACTTGACTATTAAACGTCCTATTAAATTAGGACCAAAAATATATTCTAATGATATATACGTATCCCCCTACATCATGTTAATCTTATTAGGGAGAGTACACTAGGACAATGATAAATACTCATTTTACCCACTTATATCATTAACAATACAGTTTAGATATAACTAGGTACTTATTAATAAGGTCACCTCACTCTTCTATAGAGATAATAAGTTTGTAGACCAAATAGGTTAATTTATAATATGGCATATTATATTGACTTTTATGTTGTTAATGATGCCCTAATATTTTTCATTAACATCTCCTATAATTTTGTAAGATTATCTTGACATATTATTAATATATGGTAAGGGAAAGCTGAATAGATCGACCTAAATAATTCCAATAGTTATCTCCCATTGATATACACCATAAAAGTGGATTAGGTAAAATATATTTCCTGTCTAACTTATGGGACTATTGTTGGTAATAGAGGGTTTATAAGGGATGGTCCAATTATTAGATAGATTTTTCCATCTTAGAAATTCCAAGTAGCTTTAAAACCTCCCGGGTTAGATAATCCTAAGTAATACCAATTAACCTCGTATGAAAGTTCATAGAAAATAGATCATATTAACTCCTCTACTGAATAAATATCCGATTATACTTATAACCTAATGGCTCCAGGTTGTAAATTTATCGACCTTTATGGTATGACCACTCTAAAATAATACTAGGATGGTATTTCATTGCTCTTAATTGGACTCCAATCTATTCAATGGGGTAATAGCTGTATTAGGAAATACCGATATTTACAAATACCATCATCTCCCTATAATCGATACCTTCCTATATTTATTATGGATATAATTGTGTACTAAATCAATAATAGTGATTTATTCTGGTAGAATAATAGTATAATTATATCAGCCCAATAAATCGAATTATATAATAATATAACTATATTGGTATTTCCTAATGAGAGATAAGACTAAATATGTTAGGATGTTTGTAATCTTAGTGGATATTTAGAAGGTATGGGTTGTTACTCCGTATCATAGCATAATGTTGGAGTAATGGGTTAAGTGAGATTAGAGAGCTAATCCGATATATTTATGCCAATAGAGAAATGCTTACCATGGGGATATGATAGAGGACTATGCTGGAGACAGCCAACTCCAAAAATATCTAAATATTTTCATACATTGATTACTCCACTGTAGAATATTAATTTACATCTTTATTATCGGATATTATCAAGTATAAGTAGTTCAATAATAACTTAATATATTGGTGAGGCCACTATAATCAATATAATTTAACTTTGATGTTTATTCCTACTATCCATCTTATCCTAAACAATTTGGGTGATATGGTTAACAAATGCTATTTAATTTATGTTAGATTAAAAGGGGTTATCACATGATTAAATATATATTAAATTGGTTGATAATCGATATAATAGATTTTCATGTTCATGGAGAATTTAGCACTATTATAGAGGATAGGGTTCCCTCTCCAATAATAAATGATAATTAGGGGAGATTAATTACATAGTAGGTTTATCCTAGGGACTTGCTTTTATAATTAATCGGCTAATTTTGGGTACTCTATATATTGATCGGGATAATCTATTTGCACTTATCACTATAGAAGGAAAGAATCCCAAGGGTAGATATGATTGATCCATAACATATCAACCTCTAATTTAAATTATACCTTTCTTATCACCTCTAACATTATCCCAAAGAGAAAAAATTGCCTATTTGGCTAAGCTATAGAAACAATATACTTCTAATAAGTACGCCTTACATTATCTCTCCGGAGGTGATTAAAATAACAATTATACAATGATAAGAGTATAAACATTATAGTGATAAAATCCCATCTTTTGATAAGGTTGTACAAGTATATTTCACCGACCTAGTGTTATTGTACATGCAATGTTCTTAATGTTAGTTTAATTTGGTTAATATATTCTCTGATATGTTCTCCCTTACCCACTTAGGAAGATGGCATAAATAGTTATATTTCAATAATTTTAATTTAGGGGATCATCGACTGAATCCATTGACTTTATATTAATGATATCCAGATAATTATCCTAATGATTTACCCGAAGAATAAAAAGAAAGCATATCGGAGAATAATAAATACATTCTCATAGGGTCCCTATCTTAATATAACTACCATCCCTTTTATTCCATCTAATTTTGTCACCTTATAATATTATCCTCTTGTAAACCTACCCTAATGGTGTATTTCTTACATAATACAAGGAAGGTGATATAATAACCCATATCTCACTAAATATATGCACTAAATACCTCTCTTATTATATATGTTTAATTATCACCTAAAATTATGTTACAATACCATTTGATATTATTTTGTACGAGCCTAGTGATATTACACCAAGATTATTCGAGAGTGGATAGCCGATTAACTCTACATTCTAGTTATTTCTAGAAAGAGGCCCATATATACCAATCTTAGATGAATGCGAATATATATATATATATATATATATATATATATATATATATATATATATAAAAGATACATGTATGGGTGAATAATATTCATGATAATATATTTGATTTTCTATCGGTACATGCTAATAATAAGTCTCTAACATATCACTCTTTTATTTTTATCAATAACTTAGGGAGTGTTAACAAGTTAATTGGTTAACATATAACATCTCGAGCCCTCCTCTTATCGGACACTAGACTTATTATTAGCCATGAATGGTAGTTTTATTATTCTGCTAGGCTACAAAATCTTCTCATTCATGCTAGGGTCATAGACATTCTCTAACTAATCGAGAGGTGGAAGGAGGGAGAATGAGAAAGGGAGAGAGAGGGACGGATCAAGAATATTAGTATATTCCTAGTCAAGGCTCTCACTCTCTTCATCAAAGAGTATATATCAAGATGGTAAATAATTATAAAGGAGATATACATGGCTTGATCCCTCCCCTCTCTCCCTTTCTCATTCTCCCTCCTCCCTTATCTCGATTAGTTGGAGAATATCTATGATTATTCATCTCTAGGTCCCAAACTTATTATTGGGACAATAGCTATATACTCCCAATGATATCCTAGAGTACATGATAAAATTGATTTGCCAAGTGGCCATTACAACTAGCCATTACAACTATTAAGAATCAGTTCCTAAATGGTTATTGAATATATGAGCTTATCCGGCTATCGATTTGCCAGAGGGAGCATGGACTTATGTATTCCTTTATGATTTGGGAGAGTGTAACCTACATGAAAGAAAGGAGTGGAATCAAACTATAAATTGGAGGATAATCTGATTGTGTGCACTAACAATCTATAGGGTGATTCTACTCCTTTCATGTAGGATACACTCTCCCAATATTAATATACTAATATTTTTCTAGCCTATATAAATAGAAAGTGAGGCCAACTATATACGGATTCTAAATGGGATACTAAACTAATCATATTGTTATATATTCCATGATATAAATTAGGTTATATAACTAGATACGTTGGCTTATTTGTCTATGGGAGATCAAAATATAGGATGATCACATAGTAAGAGAACCCCACTATAATCTAACAATATAATAGCTTTCACCGATTAGTAGGAAGCATGCCAAGTGGATCATAATGTACCCCATTAAGGTGATATGTGTGATAATCTTATAGACTCAATTAGCCTAAAGATAAGTGATTTGATTTTAGTGACTAAGGATTAGTGGTCATATTAACTAATAAAGCTCTATTTGTAATATTTATCTATCATTACCGTGATTATACCAACCTCTCCCATTTCTTTTACGTTAGGTAATCCATCTCTCTAATATTCTAGCTATGCAATTAACCATAGTTAGTTAATTCTACCTATGAGATCAACGTGTTAATAGGTAACTCATTCTAAGCCATTTGTACCACCACTAATAATATTTAGAAGTAGATACTCAACTTGATATAGCTTATTAATCGATATTATATAAATATAATACGAGAAACCATTTGTATGGTATTCTTATTGGGTTATCATAATTGTTTATGGGACAACATTAGCCTTTACCATAATTATTATGGTCAATTGCTAATCCTTAATAGCTCCAAACATATCGGCTCCCCCAAGCTCACCTTATTACAGCTAGACACATATTGACTCCCTCCCTCGAATGAATTTTAGAAACACTAATATAGATAAATAACTATCCCCACATTACCTTCCTTATCATATGTCATTTAACATAAGATTCTTCCTCTCACAACAATACCCAATAGGACTCCATGAACATATGAAAATAATAAAGAAGATATTCGCGAAATGGAATAAATGTATGATAAAAAATTTTAGAAGACACATTGTAAGGTAACATTTATGAAAATATACTATGGCCTCTTTTAAACCCTAATGATTATTTATATATGATAAGTTGCTATCGATAATCTCATAGTTAAGATATCTAACTCTGATATATCTATTTGAGTGGCCATAGTATGGAAATACCCTGATCAATTGATGGTGATTGATATAGTCATATTCAATAATATTGGACTAGATATAAATAATGGATATCTATAGAATAATGGAGTGAATAGTTGACACTTGGTATAATAATTATACCTTAGTCTATATAAAGGGTGAGAATAATAGGCAAACTTATCGAAATTAGGCTATCACTCATAAATTGCTATAGCCATATATCCATTATTTAAGAGAAACTACCATTGTCTACTTCCATAAATCAGATTGGAACCCTATTAGTTTATTATCCTTTAGAAAAATTTACCCCTAAGCCTCACATTAGCTAGGACAATACATAACTTGAACTTGTATATGGGAGATTGAAGATAAAACCATGTATAGGTAGCATATTATTAGGCACTAATATATAGCTTGGCATACTATCGATGGTTATAAACTTTTCCCCTTCTCCTTCGATAGAGATGAGACTTAATATAATAGTACACAGATTATTCTCTCTCTCATAATTTACCAACTTGTCCGCCTCCGGAGATTTTATACATAATTCATAACCCATAAAGAAGCAAAAAGAGGACTATGATACTCGGATTACTCTATCTTTCCCTCTTATCTAGTCCTAACCCTAATTGTTTCTATTATAAAATAATTTAGCAAACAAGTTAATAGTTTATAATTAATAAATTCCTATAGTTAATCATTGACACCTAAGAACAAGGCTATAGTATATTGTTAAATTGGATATATTCCATTATAAACATTACTGTCTTGATTAGTTTATCCCTAATTGTAGGCTAATCTTGTATGGGATTAACTTGTACATCTTTAGCGAATAGGATTATCCAACCATGAGTTTAATACCCTCATGACAAGAGATTAATTGATCTCATAACAAGGTTGTAATCCTATTCACCATAATATCCTCTATTATAATACATAGAGAGTACACTATCATCATATGTAATAGGTCACTCCTTCTCATAGGTAATTGAATCCCCGTATACTATTTTCACTCTCACAAACTCTAATGATTAACTAGCCAATCAACTTGTTAAAATTAAGGAAGATAGCTAAATAAGTGTTATTATGATTGATATAGAGGCTACGCTTATCAATAGTTCAAATAGTAGTACGGGGATTGTTTACATTATAGGTCATATAATGAATTCTTCTAGAGAGGGAGAACTAATATTACTCCAACCTCTATGCTTAAATAATATCTTTTACGGTTACCTATTAAAGATATGTTAATATTTCTTATACCATTTAGTCCAATAATTAGATTGTGTTTATAGTCCTTATTTACCATAATTAATCGATTATAAAGTCATAGGGATGCAATATTTTTCTGCTTTTGGTCCTCCCTTAGTCCTTTAATATTTAATGTCTCTCTAATACTATGAAAGAGCAAGAGGGAGAGGGAGAGATACAGGAGAGATAGGTTGAGAAACATGGAAAAACATATTACAATGGTATCACTCACATTATAATGTTAAGTCAATAATGAAAGTAACTTATATACATATACACATTATCCCTTTAATAATATATACAAGAAAACAATCCTAGTTTAATGATATAGAGGGTTAGTTGTTCATATAGAGGATAAACTATTAACTATCCTAATTGAGTCTTCATATTTATATGAAAAGAATATGACTATTATTATATAGCAGGAGATTCAATTAAATAGTACCCAAGCTCATAGGGAATAAGGAACTAAACAATTAGTTCGAAGAATTCTCATGCATTAAAAAGGTGCCTATGGATATCGCGTACCCTATCAATAGGGCCAATGAATATAGGACGGACATCCTTGATAGTTAGGGCCACTGTTTAATCCTATGGTTAATAAGTTTACTCTCATTAGTTTTCTCAATGATATTATTCATCCCTATCCTTTCTATTGTTAAAGGGTTGACAAGGTACAAGAGTGATAAACTTATTCCATGTAGTAGATATTATTAGTCACACATTATTGGAATATGAAACCCGATAGACATCTATAGTGGAGTAAACCTTTTATTGCATTAAGAGATGGGTCATAACAAGTAATCTAGGTAGAAAGGGTAACCTAGGGTTATGATCATCCATAGATGTTTGAAATTCATTAGTATGGATCCCTAAATAGCCTATTTCCAACTAGTCACCCCGAGATAATTAGGGCACTAATCGATCCATAGCTACGGTATAAATAACCTTATAATAATAGTGTACCCTTAACAATTTTGATATCGACCATCACTTTCTTTTTGTGGAAGATAAAATAGGGGGTATACTAACTCTAGTCGTGTTAATAGTTTATCCTCCATATGAACAACTAACCCTCTATATCATGAAACAAGGATTGCCTCCTTGTAGATATTATTAAAGAGATAATGTGTGTATGTATATAAGTTACTTACACTATTGACTTAATTTTATAATGGGAGTAATACCATTATAATATATTTTCCACGTTTCTCGAACCTATCTCTCCTCTGTCTCTCCCTCTCCCTCCTACTCTTTTGAGATGATAATATTTGATTGTAAGGGTATTACTCACATTATAAGATTAAGACCTTTACAGACTAAATTAGTAATGGCAATTTCAAGCAAACATGGTATACGATCTATACTCATTCCATAATTGGCATATACTAGGTCTCCTTAAAGCCAAATAAGGAATTATAGTATTTAGTTACTTTTATAATGATACCTTATATATCCAATTTCCTATTTAATTATGGGTGGAGAGAGAGGGATATATGGCAACTATATTAACTTAGTAATAATATCAAAATAGTAAACTATACCCCTTGGCTGAAACATTTTATATTGGTTTATTCATCTATATGATAGATAAATAAACATCTCCAAAAATTGCGTAGAATATATAGGGCGAGATTATTCATTAGGCGAGATGAAAACCAATCTTAAAGACAAATTGATTAATTATCTATTATATTATGTTATACCTCTAAACCAACCCATGACACTAATTCTAGTATGACTAATCCAATAATATCCGTATGGGATTCTTGATTAGGTATAAGGAACTAGTGTAGTACAACATCCGCCTTCATGGCCCTATAATTCATTTTTAGGTGTATTGTAAGCTTTTGGTGGAATAATCCTCCTTTTTAAGAGCATCTATAATATTTTTACTTCTTGGATGATATCAAGAATATATACAATATAATAAACGCAATTTTTCTACTTAATTTAACCTATGGGTCCTCTATTATTGGTCAATTTATACTATTATGCATCTTTAGACCCCTTCTTTATGGCTGTATTTTATAAAATAAAGGGAGTAAGGTATTGGTTTATGTTATATGAGAGGTCACATTTTGATGTCTATTTAACTGAATTATAAGTAAGGATACATAGTTAGATGGCAATATAAACTAATCCTATTATCGAGGACTAATTAAATCCTAGTAATGATTTCCCAACTGGCAATGTACATAAAATTATGAATTACCGACCCTCCATACTAGAGTTAATTAATGATAACCAATTAGGGAGAGATTAGTTTATAACTAATTAAATATTATAGTTTCCCTATTATAGGAACTTGTCAAATGACTAATTATTTATCTTTTATTGATCATAGGTCAAGTTCCATAAGGCTAATATACTATACCAATGTGGGGAAAAGATTAATGTGGCATACCCCATTATAGCATATCCTTATTGATAGAATCTAGTGTCTCATATGTGGATTAGATAGGGAGATAGGATTGACCTATGATCCATAAGGGTTTATCATAATTTTAGGCTCAACTTTGCCAAGAAGATAGCTATTGTTATATGGTAATTGAAATATTCCTATGTTCTAATCATACTTCTATGGAATAGTAGTATGGAATCGGTATCACTGTAGGAGAATATCGTTAGGCTAGTTTACTGATAATGGATACACATCCATCTCATCTGTATGATGTTTATAGGGTTCCCTCTCTCCCTCTTTACCTCTCCCTCTCTATCTTTTTCTAGTGATTTTCATAGTATAATGTTTAAAATTATTGATATTAGCTAAAAATGATATTATGTTGCCCTAATTAGAATGACTCTCCACATGTGATCACCCTTATAATAGTAACCTTAATGGCCTACTCCATTACCATGGTAAATAGGATAGTACTATTTTGATCATAGGCCATAGGAAACTCTCCCATCTAATAATATAAGTATAATGCTTAATGAGGGTATTAACCTATTGGGTAGGATGCTATAATCCAACAATTCAGATAGTTAGTATAAATGAATATACCTTAAGTTAGAATCCCTTAATTATATGAGATGACATGTTTCATGTGAATGGCTCTATATGAATCAGCTTA